TGACAGTTGAAGTCCAAGTGGAAGATGACTAGGGAAAATAATTTCTTCTGGAGGCAGTCATGGAACATTCCAAATGCTACTAGGTCTCCTCCCAAGAACAAGGGAGGCAGTCTTGTTACGTTCATGATGCAAGCAGTCTCCTCCGTGCATTCATGGGATGATCTGAGTCTCCTCCACAGTCACAAGGAGTGTCATGATACAAACAGGATGCAGGCAGTCTCCTCCACAAAGCAACCATAATATAATTTAGCCTGACAGTGGTGCGTATGTACATATTGGACTAGATATGCTATGTCAGAGAAACAGCTTCATTTTTTTTCAGAAATTATTAATTCTTACTCCTAAACCACGAGGGTGTATAACATGTAAATATATGAAATGAATAAAATAGACCAGGTAATGGAGAAATCATCTTGAACTCTCTTGGCACATTTCTGTCAATGGTTCAAAAGTTATGTGTATGTATGACATATAGTATTATAAGAGAAGAGAAGTAATCAATACCCAAGACTGCAGGTAAAACAATAATAATGACTAGATGGAATGTCTGAGATCATAGATGAAAGATCGCTGCAAACTGTAATCTTTTAAAAAAATAACAAGTACACCTTGACTAGAAAATAATGCCACTTTGATCTGACAAACATACAGATGTCTAAAAATCTAAGCCACAAAGAAATGCACAAATCTTATTAAACCATTGGATACAAATGATTTAAAAATATATCATGATATAAAATTGACTGGAGATAAGCGTTAGTACCCTTAGTCTAGTGAATATGCTATCCACTGTACACATGATCAAATGCAGGGTCAATAGTCCTATAAATTTTACCTTCAGCTTATATACAATGTGTCTTTATGAGACTTCCTCTATACTTGAAAGCTATCTAGCGCTTTAAACTATTTATCTATAGGCATCTACAGGTATAGAGAAGCTAATCCTCTAGTTTGACACTAGACTAGGGGCCTCTGAACCCTTTGAGGCCATCACTTTGGTTGTCCAACTGTGGAGCTGGAAGAGACCTCAACGCCCTGGTCTGGTGGGGTCCTGGAACCCCGCCCGGCCACACGGCACACACAAGATGGCGTGAGGAGCACCAGTGCACACGGCGTCACTGCTATGGAGGCCCAGTTTCGAGCTAAGCACTTGTGGACAGCACGCCCACAGACTACCAGGTAAAAACATGGGCGAATACCGAGCCATGACAGACGACAGCCAGGGAGTGGTGGCTGCGTGGGTGCCCGGGCACAGCGCAGGGCGTGAGGCAACAGACACGAGACACGCAACACTTAGTACCCTGAAGGAGCAACCCGTCAGCGGGGCGGGTTAGGACACATCCTGTGCTGGGAGATCCAAATCACCCGGCCAACTCGCACAAAATGGCGTACAGCTGATAGAGCGTGTCTTAAGTATACTACTATTCTTAACAATATGATATAGTTGAAATATTATGATACGTAATATAACTTTAACAGAAGGCTTATTAATATTAAAAATATTGTTTCCATACTCTCAGTAATAACATGGCTATCAACATGTGAGTGGAGAGGGACATACAGTCCCAGTCCTTTTTGGTACCGTGCCACAGCTAGGTACAACGTATATACAGTTTGTGTACACAGCAGCCCAGGCCTCAACAGTGGACTTACTATACCACTTTAAGCATTAAATATTGTGACAGCCTGTTCTTCAGGGACTGTCTCACTTTTGCCACCAATGAGGCCTTCTGACGCTAGTGTAGCAACTCAAGCTCTCTGGACTCGTATATGTAGCACTTGTTGTATAGAAATATGGGAATAATGTTCATCTTGCAGAGGAAGTTAAATTTTTTCTAGTATTTTTCTTCGCTTTTTTTTTTCTTTTTTTTAAATTTTCTTCTTATCGCCTAAGCTTTGGATTCCTAATACTTGATATAAATGTCATATTCAAGCTATGATAAACACGGAGCCATCTTCTTCAAGAACCAATTCACCGTTGGATACCCCTGGAAAGAAGGAAAGCAGTGAAAATACTTTATAAATGAATATATTAATGCATCATCTTAAAGAAGCCCTGAATATTCCTTTTATGCTAATTATGAAATGAAATAAAGCTCAGTGCTCAATATATTATGAGTAATAAGATTTTTCTCTTGTGAAATAAAGCTTAATGCTAAATGTCATATGAGTAATAAGATTTTTTCAGTTTTAATGAGCACACTTTTCTGATTTTGCTAATCTGAAAAGCATCTGGCAACACATTTTATCTACATCTGTATCTGCATCTTTATTCATTTAGCTACAAAGGTAAGCATCTTCATGTTACACTTATATATAAAAATACTACACATATTACAAATATATCTTACTCCTAACTGCAAAAAATTAAAATCCCTCCAGTTAGAGAAAACAGGCACTCATCTCTCACCTGGTCTCCCCTACTGAGTGCGGCCGTTAGTAGGGTCTATTGGCATCCTTGGGTCGCTTGAGCTGAACCTTTAGACGCTTCATGCCAATC